TCGACAGACAGATCGACCCTGAGGCTGGGGGTCATCAGAGCTGCAATACCAGCGGTCGAAGTATTCCTTGAGACCATCTTTTGCAGCAACGAGCCACTCATGTTGTTCAGGATCCCTCCATCGGCGCCGCAGCCACCGAAGGCCGAGGTTTGGGTCCAGAATGATAGCCGCAGCGAACAGAGGGGAATCCGCAAGCTTCGTATAGTACTCATCAAGTTTCTTCCAGGCATTGTTGATGCTGGCCCGAATGCTGGCCCTCTCTCTAGCCTGAAGTCTCAACAGACCGTCGCTGTTAGGCATTGTGACGTACTCGTCGCGGGCATGAGAAGGCAAGGCCCCTGCATTGAAGCGCAGCCGCTGTGTCGACCGAAGCTGTGACAGCCTCGTTGCCTGATTCCGCGGTAGATCCGCCGTAGCTTCAGCTGCTCGAGCAGCTCCAAGATCCGGATCATTGTCGTACAGAGTCTTGTAACCTTCAAGATGTCCCAATATATATTCCATCCCCATCAGGACATCTGAAAGCCGACCACTGGTTCCAGCCACCCCCCATCCCTGGGTCTTCATTGTCAGCTTGTAGAGTGGCTCTAAGATTGTCTTGATCTCGATGAGGGACTTCCAGTCGTCGGCGGTTAGTTTGTCAGCATCAGGGATCCGCTTATCATCATCAGATTCAAGATCAAGCCCTGAGACAAAGCTGTTGATATCGTCCCTCTTCCTGAGAGCCCTCTCTATCATCAGATACGTTGAGTTCCAACGCGTGCTGTTGTTCTGCTTGAGGCCAAGGTCCCAGGTCGGCTCCTCTGACAACTGATAGTCGTCTAAGATCTGGGCTTCCTTAGCATGCTGTCGGAATGCCTCAGATCGTTGCGGCGACGCCCTGATGAACTTGACGACATTGTGAAGCTTTCCAACAGGTCCCCTTGCTCTCCAATGTGCTAGTTCAGCCTCGTCGTCGCTCCAAAGGGCAAGGGTATAAGCATCCCTCTCAAAGCAAGCAGCATCCTGGTCAAAAAGGAAAGCCTGGACAACAAGATTGAGGACATGACCAAAACATCGCATTCGACGTGCCTTGATATCTCGGTCAGTCATAGTGGGATCCAGGGACGGATAGAGGGCCTTGAGACATGTGTCGTTGTTCCCTGCATTGTCGGCGATGCAGACACCGACCTGGTCCCTGATTCCCCAAGCCTTGAGAATATCTTGGATGGTGAGAGCAATGTGATTCCCGGAATGCTTCCCTGGCTGTCGACGGAAGGCCAGCAGCCTGCTCTGGGGCTTTTTCTTTTGGTTGATGAAGTGCCCAAAGATTGAGATCATGGCTAGGTTGTTTGGAGAAGTCCAAAGGTCGAAGCTGATATGGATCTGGCTGAGGGCTTTCGTCAGGTCAGCCTTGACCGCCGTCATCTTCGACTCAAAGATCTCCTTAATATCCCTTCCAATTGTCGATCTACTCTGAGGGAGCTCTTGGGCAAATCCGGGGTCTAGCTGCTTTAACAGCTCCTTGATGTAGACACTCTCAAGAGCAGTAAAGGGCAGGTCGCAGTCGACAATGTAGCCCACTAGAAGTTCCCGGGCCCGACTGAGTTTTGCTTGAGAAATGCTAGAAGGGGTCGAGCAGCTGCTGGCTTGTCGCTGGAGGTCAAGGACGGTCATCTCGTTGTCTAGCCGGCTAGGGTTGTCTTCGGCGATATTGTGGGACCTGTAACCGTTAGCAATGTGATGAGACCGACGATAGGGGATTTACTAGCCTTAGAAGGTGTCCCTGCGAGGCTGAGGTCGATTGAGCGCTGAAAAACTGGGGCTTGCCGTAGACATCGCAGCGTCGACAGCACCAGACATCCTGCTTGACCTTTCCAGTGGTCGTCAACTCCGTGAGAAACCAACCCTCTCGAGTAATCCAGGAACGACGGCCACGGCTCTTTTTCTTGTTGAAAACACCAGCAATGATGAAGATTCGGCTCCCCCAAATGATCTTGTAGGGCTCGTCGGTATGTGTGATGGTTTGCTGCGCAGCTTCGTCGTACTGCTTTGCAATGGAGCGTAGTCGAGATCGAGGTCGAGAGAGGAAGACTGCTGCAACGTCGTTGGTATCATCTGTAGCAGAAGTTGCGTGGCCGCTCTGTGCAGCAGTCAACATTGCGAGGTTGGGGTGTCTTGGACTGCCGGATCTGATCAACCTCGATGGTTGTCATACACACCCACACGCGCGCGTGCTGCGTGTAAACAGTAGACAGGCCGACGCGTCAGATCCACAATTTAGCGTTCGACAAGGCATGGTCGGGACTGGAAGAAATAATCCCCGACCCGCCCATCTACCTCTCTCACAGCCGAAGTGAAGGGTCCAGGAGTAAGGTTAAAACAGGAGTCAGATAGTTAACTTGCCAACTAGGTAGTTATCAGATTATCAGATTTAGATTGCGCCCTGACTGATCTGACTGATCTGAAGAAATGGCCGATCTGAATCGACTGGACTAATCTGGACTGATAAATCTGATCTATAATCTGATCTTTGAGCAGCGCTGGGTGGCAGTGAAGCTCCTCAACATGGGAAGAGCAAGCTGGGGATTTGATAACGGTAATGAAGAATCGAGTAAATCAGTCATCATCGCGGAGAATAACACGCCGTAAGGCTGCTCGTTTGCTGGCTCGCGTGATCTCCCCTTTGCGGACGGCCAGGCGGAGCAATGTGAATATCAACAATGTATCCCCGGGGCCTTCGTACTGATACTTAGAGTCTGGTTCGAGATTAGTCGTGAGAGTTTCGTTAAATAGCCTTCCTATGTTCCGAGATAAGGACCGTGCCATCCCCTGTGTTTCTCAAAGTACTGAGGCGTGTCGCCATGGTGTCGACGACCTTCGGGTGATTCTCAGCGGATTATTGGCTCGGAGTAAGAATAAAAATAAACTGAGGAGAACCTGTAAGGTTTGGAAAGTAATGTACATTCCGGTCAATCTGGGGATTTATATCATTGGAGCGAACAGAAAGGGATCACAGGACAACCAGGAGTTCGAAGGCCGTACGACTCAATATTGTGTTGTCTTCAGCTGGCGGCGTTCGCCCCTTCGAGGCTGACTCAACACTCAGACGCGTGTACAAGTAAAAGGACTGTGCTTCGCTTGTGTTCCGCCTCCAAATGCCCGCCCGCTCGCATGTTTCCCTATTAGTACTCTTGCAATGGCAGTGAATCTGGGTGATATGAAGTGTCTGCTCTGTCTGTGGCAGTAGTGGTGGATGGTGGGCAGGGTAAAAACCCTGCACCATATGGGTCTGGACGGTTTGCAAGGCTGGGCTGTATGCGGGGCTCCCGTAACAAGTACAGTTCCAGTCTTCAGAGGCCATTCTTGTTATATCGTCCCAAGCTATCTATCGCAACTTCCAGTTAGTTTCACGTAGTCTTGCACCCGTGGAATTGGAGGACTCGGTTCCAACAATACAATTCAGCCCTGGTTTGTCAGTTAGGGTGGAAGTTGCGTATTTCTCTGTTTATTTCTCTTATGGTTTCTCCTCTTTTTCTGCGTCTTTCAATTTCGTTTTCTTGCGCTTTTCTTTCACCTTCACTTTCTTGAACATAATCCTTCTTTCTTGTCCCTGATCCTTATCTCCATCGTTGCCTTCCCCTTCGATCTTCCATTGCTTCTTATGTCTGCCCCCGTCATGGGCTCCACTTAAACAAACTCGCCCGACCGATGATCAAGATGTTCCTTTCGCTAGCCACTGCCGGATTCCTCGGCTTGCCAGATGAGGTAACCCTTTGAACCTCTCGGCCTCATATGTTTCATCGATCGCCTTTGCCAGACGCCGAGCCTTGAGTATGGCAAGCCGCTGGGCAGTCCGCGGCACTGTCTTGATGAAATCGTCCGCCTCCTTCGTCAGCCTCTTTCTTTTCTCTCGAACACTGACTTCATCCCCCTTTTCGGCTGCACAAAGAGCACAACCACACTCAAAACCCCACGTGGTCAGCAACGACCGTTGTCTCGCATCATAGTCGCCTGACTCATCGTAGCTAAGCACAATCTCTTCGCCAGCAGCAATGTCCCTCACCGCACGAACAACCATCAAGTCCCCAATGAACTCCCTCTCGGCGTTCGGAATGCACGAGTGGTTGATGTAAGCCGCCCGCACCCACAGCCCGGCGTTGCCAGTGTCTTGCCCCAGCCCAAACGCATTCCTCGCCACAATATCATGAATCCGAAACACATCCACAACCGGCCCATCCACCGTCTTCTGCAACCCACTCGCGGCACCGCCGTCCCAGTCCCCGAACAGATCCATCACCATGCCTATTTCTGAGGGATTGCCCATCAACCTCTCCACAACCGCCCTTTCCAGTCCAACAGCCGCCACCCGTATCCTGTCATCTCTCACATCGCACGTCACAGCCGTCTGCACCCTCCACGCCACGCAAAATGCCTTCTCACACAGGATCACTTCTCCAACAGCCACATTCTTCACCGTGAACAACCCTCGTCCCTTGCCGGGGGATTCCCTGACCTCAGTATAGCTAACGAAACTCGTTGCGTCCACTTCACCCTTGGTCTTACCCCCCGCCAAAGAAGCTCTGATCGCAGCGAAGTCATACACGCCCTCTCGCTGTTCCCTCAACCGGGCCTTAGTCCTGGCAAGATTGGAAGCTGCCGCCTTATTGGCGGGCATTAGCGCAAGTTGTTTCTCAAAGAAATCTTGTGCGTCCTCGAACTGGCGCAGGTTGTATGCTGCCGTGGCGGCCCGGAAGTAGACCTTGCCGTTGAGTTCGGCAGCTTGAACGTTGTTCTCGGCGGGTTGCGGGATGAGCGCGGAGAGGGCGTCGGATTTGGCGGCGGTGAAATGCCCGATGAGGAGGTTGACGTAGGCGCGGTTGCGGTGTAGATCACGGGTAAGAGTTGGGTTTGGGGAGGAGGTGGCGGTCAGGAGGTCGAGGGCGGTGGTGTAATAGTGGTGGGCAAGAGGGAGGTTGCCTTGTTGGAGGGCGGCGTTGCCTTTTTGTTTGTAGGAGCTGGCTGCTTCCTCGGGTTCGACTGGGCTGTGGCTTTGCGGTTGGGGATTTTCTCGCTCGTACAGGACGATGATATCTGACGGATGATCGACTCTCAGTGTCGGTTCGCCTTCTTCGGTGAGAGTGAAGTAGGGTTCTCTGAGAATAAAGGACAATGCTGACTCGAGCACCTCCTTGCTGTGTCTCGTCTTGTGCAGGACGATCTCGAGGCGCTCTGTATCCCCGGCTTCGTCCTGCACAATGGTCCATGACCTTGTTGCGTGCGTCACCACGGGACTGACGCGCTTGATAGCAAGGTGACAGCGGCGATGGTGGGTCTCGAGACGGAGCTCGGAAAGCTTCATTGACTGTAAACCGTTCCAAGGGGTTATGCATGGTTGATATGGTTGCCCAACGGTCAAAGCGGGCATTTTGCTCTCCTTAAACTGTGAGAGGGCCATACTGCCCATGTCTGCCATGAGCGAGGCACCAGTAGCCTGACTGATTGCTGATTTCGAGTCTCTCGGTTCGCGCGCATGACCAGTGAGCTGAGAACATTTCTTGAATCTCTCCTTGACCACATTTCGGATGCGTTCTGCTTCCTCTTTGGTGAGGAACAGAATGTCGTGAGGCTTTTCGAAAGACATGTCAAGTAGCTGGTGTGGATTATTCGCGACGCCCCTAAAGGACTGCGATAGCAGGTTGACGGCACTGTTGTCATCTTAATACCTCCGGCTTCCTGTCGGCCTAAGGTCCCGAAGGATCACACTAGTCCCTTAGGTGCATGTGCGGTAACATGTAAGCCGCCCCTCCACGTTTTGTTCCCCCGTGGTATCTCCGCAGGCGGGATGCTAAACTAGGACATTGAGTCACCGGGAAGCGGGATATGCGATGCAGCAGCAGCTCGGAGTAAGCTCGCATTTGAGAAGAGCTAGGAAGTGTTGAGAAGAGCTAGGAAGTATACCTTACACAGGAGGAGGATTCCATGGAACGTCCAAGCTTGATGCACATTTGGGTCGTTGTGAGCCGAGAAAAGGAGTAGGTGTTGTCCGTACTAGCTGCGACTCGGAGGGTTGTCGGCGGGCTTCGAATCGACGGCGGTGGATCCAACCTCGCAATCGCTCATTTTCATTCATTGCCTTAGTGATCTTCGCTCCAAGCGGTTTCGTTGGATCAACTCCCGGCGACGAGTCATAGGGGCCGTTAGCGCGAACACAGCAGATCAGCGTATATGACGCAGACTCGAGTGGACTTGGAAGGCCATTTGAGGGGTCAATGGTGATGTTCAGAGTCAACCTAATTGAAGATGAGGTGAACTACCTCCGTAGCGAGTGGATATGAAGAGCTTTAAGTTTGTTCTGGGGGAATAGTGGGATGCAGAGTGAGCCTACCGGAGAAAGATCCACGTTGTACCCTAACCCTTTGGTCCACCGCCTGCTGTAGTCCGTACAGGGCAGAATAATGGCCAGGGTTGGTGAAAGGAAAGTGCGATCGTGATCAGAGTTCCTTACTATCGTCGTTAGTTCGACCATTGGTTTTAAACACTTATATCGCACTCCTCCCTTTGTACCCTCCGTACCCTCAGAATTTGCACTATAATATTATTATTCCTACACCGCTGTGCCCTTGGGCGTGCCGGACCTTCAACAACTTACTATACAGGAAAACCGCGCCCTCGTGGGCCGGATGAAAAACCCATATCGACAATCAAGGAAACGATCAGTGTGCGATCCTGCAAACACAAAGTGGGAATGCCTCTTGGCCTTCGAAGGAAAGGGTATCAGACTGCGAGCTCCAGCTCCAGCCTCCTGGCCAGACCGTACATCGGCAGTTTCCCCGAGTCCATCAGCCAGTCCAGGATCCTCCCCGTTAGCCGTGCAGCTTTGGGACTGATTCCCTGTAGGACAGAATAAAAGTCCCTTCGCGTTCTGACCTCGGCTCTCTCCCATCTTCGAGTCAACGGTGGGGCCAA